CAGAGACATTGCCTCTGGGCCAAAGCGCCACTTATATATATTCAGTATTTTTGTATATATATTCAGACTTTTTGTATAAATATCCAGACTTTTTGTATATATATTCAGACTTTCTGTATATATATTCAGGATTTTTATATATGTATTCAGACTTTTTGTATATATATTCAAAGATTAATTTCCTGAATGGCATGCCATAGTATATCTATATATCTATATATATGGATATATATTTTTATTTTTTACACTCACCTGATCTGTAACATCATATACAACTATGATGCCATGAGCTCCACGGTAGTAACTGGAGGTGATAGTGCGAAATCTCTCCTGACCTGCAGTGTCCCACTGAAACAGAGGGAAACGGACAAATAGTTTGACATATGTTCCATATGATCAAAATCTCAACGTGAAGACCTAGAGGGAATTTCTAACAGAATAATGCTAACTAAAACTCCATCACATCATTGACATGATAGTAAATACTAAATGAAACCTCACTGTGATGCATACTCCAAGTGAGTTTTTCTTCCAGAAGCAGTGACAATACTGTCATGTTAGCATGTGCTTGCAAGTATTATCACAGGCGAGTAAATCAGTGCCTTATGAATGAACACCATCCATTGCAATGCAAACTTTACTACAGGTCTTTCCAGCTTTTTTTTTGTCCAACAGTTACATGTGAATTATTCTTTGTCTAATAAATTCACTATACATCTTAAGTAGATGTCTAAAATATCCTTACTGCAACAAAGTTCTGATGCCAATGGTTTAATATTTGCAATTTGGAAAAGTCAGAGAAGGCACATTGACAAGAACAAAAACAAGAAGCAAAAACGTAGTGAAGTGAAAGCCTAAGAAGAAATATCAAACATATTGCCAAATGTTAAAATAGTATTTTTTTTCAGAGCTTCATGCTAGTGATATATTTGATCATCTATAATGTTCTGAATAGAACAAATTTATACTTGGATTGATTCATGGGTTTGATGGTGAGGTTATCTGTTGAGAAATTAAATTGTTCTACAGTATGTAGAAATAAATAATAATCTCTTTAAAAAACATTTTAACAACAAAAAAACAAAACAATTAAAAACACAATTAAATGTCAATTCATCTCTGATTGTTGATTTTCCAAATGATCATCATCATGACCATTTTAAGTGTTGATTAGCAGTGAACCAGCAGATGTAACATTATACATATACAAATTATACAAATTATAATTATATCATCCGTCTCGAAACTATCATTTATTCACTGAAAATAATACCGTCAGTCTTTGATTGTCCTTTTGTGACAAGCAGAATTACAGAATGCCCTTTTACTAGGTAGCAGCAGCTGAAAAAAAAGTGTGTGAGGGCGTGTGTATGTGTGCATGTGCGTTTGCATGCTCCTGTGCTGCCCGGCTTATGCCAACTTTTCCTTATATTGATTCATACTTGTATTGTGGGACAAGATGAAAATTTGTTGCGAGGACACTCGGTGTGAACAAAATGCGAAGGACAATGGGAGGGTTAAAAAGATTTTTGAGTGTATTTTTGTGACAATGTTTGCAGGCCCTGGTTTCACATAAACTAAGTAAATTGAAAATTAATATATTGCAGTAAATATACTTTGTGACATTTTTGTTTGTTTGTGCACCACTGGATTTGTCTAATGTAATTTGGGAAACGCTGGACTAAAGGCCTATTAAAAGAAAAGTCACTGTAATAAAGACATAATCAAATGATTAGGTGTTTTTTCTGTGACATTCTCAATTTATTCACAATGAATCAATGTTGAACTTTGGCTCCTCTTGAATTGAGTTAAAAAGAAAGATGTAACTTAGCAGAGTTCTATTGTGTGTCTTTCAGCACTCACAATCTGCAGTTTGATGGTTTTGCCATCCAGCTCAATGGTGCGGATCTTGAAGTCTACTCCAATGGTGCTGATGTAGCTCTCTGTGTATGTGTCATCCTGTGGGTGAAGAGAGGAGGTGAAATTAGGGTATCGATAGGATGTGCAATTACACTTAAAGCTGCAGTGGTACAAGCATTCAAATGCAAGCAAGTAGTGGAACATATCTAAAAGTGGGTAAGAAAGAAGTAATACTTACTGCAAAACGGAGCAGAAGGCAGGATTTTCCTACTCCAGAGTCTCCAATGAGGAGGAGTTTAAACAGATAGTCACTGGAAAAAAAATACAGGACAGGTCAGAAAGAAGCCTGTCTTAAAGCCGCAGTTGGTACAATGACTTATTGCTCCTGGCACAATTAGTTTAAATAGGAAAGTGAGAATGAGAAGATCACTGGCAAATGGATAAAAGAGGGACTGAGTCTATGTTGATATGAAGAAAGGCATGCAATGGTCTACCCAGAGGGCAACTATAGTACTGCACGAGTTTAGAGGTCATGCTGAGTTCAGAGTACAGCCAGTGTACCTGGGGAATTCAAGATGGAGAGTAGTAGTAGTTTCATAATCTACGGTGAGTTTTAGATTCCAAAAAAACTTTTGATATCTAAATTCAATATTTTTTTTACAAGAAAACTAAACTTTGAATTCACCAACTGATTTTCAATGTTATAATAGAACACAGCTGGAAAAATCCTACCTACATACAGCTCCCTGCTCCCTCCTTTGCAAGTGGTCAGAAATTGCTGGCTGGACATATTTACCAGTCAAAAACAGAGCCAGTAGATGGCAGTAATGCAACTTGTACAGTACCAGCAGACATTCCAGGCTATGGAAGCAGAGGCAGACTCATCTTACAGGAGGAGAGGTGTAATGTACATTATACAAGTTTGTGTAAAATAATTTCATGGTTTCAATTGAATATTTCTTTGTATTTGTGCTACAGTGGCTACATTTCATCGATATTTACTGTTACTTCTTTGTTCAATGAAAAGTTTTGCATTGGAGAAAATGTTCAGGAACCACTGATTTTAAATTATCATTTTATTGCAACCCTGCAATTGAGAAAACCTTTCATATTCAATCTTGATGTCGGCACTGGTTATTTGTTACTTCAGGTTCCACTAAAGAATAAACAAAAAACTGGAAAGAAAAACCTGAATTGCATGTCACAAACAGCGCAGGCAGTGTAGCTATTCTTGTATCACAGGAACTGAAACTTGTGACCTCAATCAGCTGACAATATGTCAGTAACACTGGATGCAGCATGGGCTGCATTGTAATGAGGACAATTTTCACAAGACCGCAAGAGTGACCTAGGGTTTAGAGTAGGGCTGCTCGATTATGGCAAAAATCAGATTAAAATCACGATTATTATCGATTTGAGAATATGCTTGCACCGACTTTTAAACATTATTGAAGGTTAAACTGACAAAAACGTGTTTAAAACAGAATTCCCTTTAGCGTTACAAGGAGATTTGGGAGGAGTAGATGGTTTCCTTCCAGCCGAGCCAGAACCAATTCATTCCCCAACCCCCCTTCCATTACCTTAGCCTAGTATAAGCCTGTCTGCCCGCCTTTTGATGTTACCATTGTGTTAGTGTAGGTGAGTGTCATACAGTATGTTTTTATGTCATATTAATCTGAAACCAACTTTTGTTTGTTTTAAAGTTCTTCTCATCATTTTTGGTTCTGTGCATACTCGGTGCTTTGTTCAAATTCATACATTTGTTAACCTAAATTGTGATGTGCAGCACATTAAAGAATTCAACAGCACATTTTCCATAAAGTCTTTATTGTGGCCTAGCAGTGGGGGTGTGTGGTTCAGAGTCGAGTCCACCAGCTGCCAAGTTACACTGAGGTGCTCTGAGCATGTCACCGTCCCCACACACTGCTCCCCTGGCGCTTAAAGCTGCCCACTGTTTACTTTGGTGATGTGTTAAAAGCAGAGGTCACATTTCGTTGTGTGCAGTGGTGTGCTGTGTCACAATGGCAAGTATTATATACCTTATTGCTGTTCACTGCACGTTTTGTTTTGTTTTTTCTATATATTTAGCCAGATATAATAGGCAATACATAAGACTTGGTTTACAGCAAAAATCAGCATACAAGTTGTCTCTTTCAGATTTTCCAACTTTAATAGATTCCCTGCTTTTAGGTGAGTCATTCGTGACAATAAATAAAAAAATGGAAAAAAATATTTTTGTGTGTACTTTTATTGAACACCACATTATATTAATTAACATGTTATTTAAAATAGATTTTTTGAAATAACATGAAGATTTAGTTTTAAAAGTTTAATTTCCCTGCTTTCAGCAAAAACAAAAATACCTCTTGAAATAAAAGAATCTCAAGGAGGAGGGAGCTTAAATGAATAACATAAATAAATAAAATATGTAAAATTACTGCTTAATTCTCCACTCCTACCGGAAATATAAAATAACTGGAGAAGGAGGGTTAATAGAAAAAGAAATTAAAAGAAAATAAAGAAAAAACATATACCCGGAAAGCAACTACCTATAAAACACAATTTCTCATGCAGTTTCAGAATAGCAGCAACAGAAAAATAATTTGTTAACTTCTGTGTAGCTTTTAGTATACGTTTCATATGGAGGTACCCTCACAAAACTTTGAGCAAATGCTGCTGTGATGGTCGCATTACTTTGCTGCTGCTCAGCGTCTATGCACTAGATTGACTGGCCTTAAATTGCTTGTGCAGCTAAATATGGTGCTGCAGCAGGTGGTGATAGAGGTTGGTGGTGTTGCCTATAGTTGCTGCTACAATGGCCCTGCAGGACCTGCTCAGCACCCGAGTCTGTAAATTGTCACTTCACTTGAATCCAAAGAATTGCCAGATTAGGGAGGTGCTATGTGTTTTTTGCCAAAAGCGTTTCCTCTGCCATGCTCTCCAGCCTGTGGCATTCTCTTTACTCCTCTTACTACCGTTCCTGCAGGAATGTTAAGAGAAGCTGGGCATCATCTGACTGGCTAAACCATTATCATCTGACTGGCTAGACAGTCGTGCAAGCATGCCCAAGTGTCCAGGGCTCAATCTGATTGGACAAACATCAGCATGCTAACAGCGAAAGCATGGCACATGTAAACAAATGTATCACATTTCAGACCAGCTTTTACAACGTATTTGTCATGCTGGTTTACATCTCGATGATACCGAAAATAAGAATATTCATGCAAGTCTATGCAAGCGAAAATAAGAATATTCATGCAAGTCTAAGCTGGATCATGGAGTAGTGCGACCTCTGCGTACGTGGATATGCATGCTTGTGTGGGCACTCATTGGCTCGAGAGACACCAAATGCAACTACAGTATGGGCTAACTGACAGATATTTTAGATGGTGAAATGCTGTTTTAGGTCTGAGATCTATAGACTTTACAGTTCCTCACCTTTCAACGATGTCTTATAGAGAAGCCATTAAAATCAATGTTTAACCTTTTTTAAATCAATTCCTGGTAATACCCTCAACTTTTGTATTTTGTATCATCTTATTCATCATATCTTACCCAGTTACTTGAATTACTCAAAAAGATTTTATAGTTTATTTGTTTAAAATTACATTTAAAAACTTAATAATAACTAATTAACTAACTAATCCTTCTGAGCTTAACTACTGAGATCATAGAAAAAACCTCCCCACATTGACAGCACTGCTTAAAAAACTTGAAATAAGATATAATCTTGATACAACTGTTTCATGTTTGATACAGTAACTTGGAGTATCAGCCAATACCAATACCAATCCAAGACCTTCTTTCCTCCTATAGCACGCCACGTGCTGCTGGTGCTGAGGTGGTAGTGCCCCGTTTATGGCATGTGGCACAAAAATAAGTTCAGCATTTGGGTTTAGGTACAGGATCAGATGGGCTAATTTTTTGTCTGATCCTAAACTTTTGACTAATACCCTGCAGGGACATAAACTCTATATCCAGAGAGCACCATTTCCTTCCTGGCCAATTCCTACAGATCTGATAGAAACCAAACAGCACAACTACCCATTATCACTGTAAACATTGATGGAGTAAAAATTGTTGGCCGAAACTGAAAACCAAAAATGAGGAAACTAAGGCCGAAAACTGAAAACCAAAAATGAGGAAACTAAGGCTGAAAACACCAAAAGAAATTATAATGCCAATTATGAGTACCATTGCATTTATGGCTATAACTGTGTACTAACCTTATAAAATAACGGCACTTTAATCGCATAAATTAATATTAATGTTGTATAATGTAAGAATAAAACAATAATAAAATGATGAAAATATTTATTTAGCACATTCCATCAGTGCACAATTTAAAATAAAATATAATTCAAAATAAAATGTTAAACTTGAGACCACATACTGGCCTGCTGAAAGATTGTAAAATTAAATATGTTCTCTCATAAAACCACAACGTGCATTTAAAGCAAACCACTGGATCATTTCTCGTGCGCGCTGCTTTACTCCCTCATCCAAGTAATGATCTTTATAACATGGATCAAGTACAGTGACGACGAAGTGGCGAGGATCTGGATAGATCTCAGTGAAACGTGTGCTGGTAGACTTTATGTTTATTGTTTTCACTCCATGGTCAGTCTCAACTTCTTTGCTTAGAAGATGCTGTAGTGCTGCAATTAAAAGAATATCATCTGCTACAGAGGCATCAGAGAACCTGATCTCTTTAGTTAGTAGTATTCACTTCACTCTAGTGTGAACTGAATGTCGTGAGGAGCTCCTGGCTCCTGTTTGCGCAAACAGGCTTTCCTTCCTGTCATAATCAGCATAACCATCTGAATGTTTGGATTTCAGGTGATAAATTAAACCTGACAAGAAGAAATTCTGCAGATGCACCCAATTTTAAAATTTCAGTGTTACATGCTTTGAAAAACGCTATTCTTGGGTCTTTTTCAGATTTATTGAATTACATCCACACCGCAGACATGCAGGCACATTTAGACAAGACCACACTGGCTGCGGTTTTTGCTGACATCAACAAAACTTCCTGTTTTGGCCGTTTTGTTTTGGATAAAAGTTTTTGGGAAATACACTTTTGGGCCATTTTCGCGCAATCATTTTCAATGGCCGAATATTATCGGTGCAACCCTAGTAAAAATCTTTAGTGCAAGATAATTAGTATCTAATTAACAAACTAATTACAGTTGTTCAGATGTGACTTCATCACACTATGCTAGAGCTGTAATGAGTCATATTTACCCAAAGAGAGGTCACAATGTGTAAATATACGGGTAAACAAAGAGCATCTGCCTAAGGTGTTAGCTAAGCTAGTAAGACAGGGTGAGCTCAGACTCAGAGACGGAACTGTTGATTATACTTTCTGCCAGTTTGCAGCTCTACCATAGGGATTTAATGACAGCCGGGTGTCTTTTGACTTCAGCCATCCAACATCTGCTATTCTGTCGTATCATCTGACATTAACCCTTGCATGTTCCTCAATGGACAGAAGCCAATTGAGGCATCAGTACTCAAGTTAACATTGTAGTCATTGAATATGTGAACACCAGGCAGCATTAACACAAGAATAACATGCAGAAAACTTTACGGAGCCTTTACTATATGACCATTAACATACATCATTAATAAAAGAGCTTTGGGTACTGTTGCCTAAATCAATAAATAATAGAAATTCAATAGTAGTAGAAGAAATAATAGTAGTTTTTGGTAGTAGTTCACTTTCCTTCCTTTCCTTCTTTTAAAAGTACAACAAAGGCCTGTATGACCTTTAAATATACCGATGTTAATACAATTAAAAATCATGTATAAAGGCATTGAATATGACAGTTCAATTATGTTATGTTAGTACAAACCAAACTAATTATGGTCATGTACTAATAACTGCAAAACAAAAGTTGCAATAAACCCAACATTTCGCAACTTTTAGTGCGTAGTCTGAACCCAAACCTGCTTATGCTATGCATGTTAAAAATATAACAGTTTGGGAGTTTTTTTATTAAATTACTTTTTTGTAAAAATGCTAGTTGTTGTACTTATTATGTCTATGTTGTGCTTCTTCACCGTACTTTATTGTTATTTACTGTCTTTGTATATTATGCTTGTACAATGACATTTTACAGCCTCAATGAAGTCTATCTATCAACGTCACAACAGTCCATAATCTATGGTAATCTGGGGCAAAGCACTACACAAACAAAATGCAAGATTGGCCAGTATAGCTACACAACTCCAACTTCTGGCACCACAAAGTAAACTACTAGGGCTGTATGCCTGCGAGCTACATGGCATGTTACACTCGAACGACCTTTTCGGTACTTATAGAAAATAAATAAATAAAACACAATGTATTCGATTTAAAAAGTGTTTTCTCAAGTTGATATCGTTCATCGACACATCACCATATGCTGGTAACAATAAGCGCCTTTAAAAGTCCTGAGTCGTGGCTGTTTATTAGGCTATAGGTCAGCCATTACACAAACGTCACTGGACTGGTTTCCGTTTTCTCATTATTTGAGCTTTGGTCATTCGTTCACATTACGGTATCTAAACTTAAAACTGTAAACAATACGCTCTGGTTTGAAGACCTGGTTTCGCTAAATATACATACAAAGAAGGTGGGCAATGTATTCTTTAGTGTGTACAGTTAGAGATCGCGTGTCGCCGGCAAAAAAATAAAAACGAAGCACGAGTGAGGCGTCAGCTGACGTTAGTGAAACCACGTCCGAGAGAGTGACACATAAAAGAAGAAGCTGTCCGCGCCCTGCTCAACGCCAGCCTGCTAGCTCCTGTTTGCCAATACGCTCAACGACAGAGCAATTAGCCTACTATTCTACGGAGGTTACACCACAACCCACAAATATTACAATTATACAGCGGTAAATAAGTGTGGAATACTCGTTAATGGAACGTTTAAATGTGACACTTACTATTCAGGATTCATGGTTTCACTGAGAATGTGTTTTTTTCCTTCAGTGACTCGACTCTTCCTTCCTTGTCCGAAGAAGAATTTAGACTTCAAGGTCCGGTTATCCGAGGCACTTTGATGGCTGTTTAGAAGTCTGCTTTAATTGTTTTCCTTCGTTCCTGCTGTTTGACCTTTATTACTTTAAATATCCTTGATTCTACCAGGCATATCCCTTTTCCGTCTGTAAAAGCTGTTTTTTCCAAGCCTTTCTGCTTTCCTGTGTCCGCAGCTTACGAAGGGTTCAAGATGGCCGCGCAGGTACGGTAGTGACGTAGGGTGACGTGGCACTTGGTTCAGTTCCGAGGAGACGTTGCAAGAACCGAAGTCCTGTTGCGAAACCTTAAAGCAGTACGCTGAATGTCAAAAGATAAAAGCCACATCTAAAACGCTTTGGGAAGCAGCGTCTACTTTAATCATACATTTAATACGTCCAGTTAAAAAAAAAATGACGCATGCGTAGTGCATTTTGTCCCATGTTGCGGCATAATGTTTCCCTTGGACTCCAATTTGAAATTGCGCCACCCTCCGTGCTCTCCTTTTATTTGTCTTTGAAAAACAATTGTATATGAC